AACAACAACAACAACAACAACATTTTTAGAACACATAATATATATTTATACACTTTCTTATGCAATACGAACTCGTACACTTTTCTTTGTTCAAACAATTGATCTTTTTCCATCTCATACCTAATAATAATTGATCCTAATTCATTTTATTTTGCAATCAACTTAGTTTATATTCCGAATCTTCCTATGTAATGTACTACTCATATAATGTTTACATTTCGCTCAGATTTAATGAAATTGACTTCTTGCCCACAATCACATTAAAAATAGATGAAATGTTATCAGTTAAAGTCTTATATATATGATATATTTCACAAGTGCACTATAAAATTTTCAAAATTTGGGGAATAAATTCTATAACCGTTTTCATATACCTGAAACAATTTTCATATCTTGTTTCTCACTACAGATTTCGCGAAACTCCATTAAATCTAAAATTTAAAAAACGGGGTGACAAATAAAAGCGGTTGCCTTTGTCACTCTGACGTCACGTATAGTGTCACTCTCTTGATTTGCCTTATTCCAAGAATTTCACATTTACGCAATTGAGCGAAATATTTACGAAAAAAAATCTGAGAATTTTTTATGCGTATATGAAAAAGTTTATAGAATATATTCCTAAAATTGAAAAAATAATTTAGTATGCTCATAAAAAAGCATGTAGGACTTGAAGCCGTACATGGTTCGATTTCTCGCCACCTCGCAGTGAGAATCGCAAAATCGAACAATAGATTTATGTATCGAGTAGATCGAGTAAAAAAACGGCAGTACAAACGGCCAAATACTATTCTGTCTCTGTTGATTCATCGCCTGATGAAGCGCATATTGATCGCTTGACTGTGACTATGAGATACATGGAAGGCTTAGAACCAGTTGAAAGATTTTTGTCTTTTATTCCAAATTCTGGTCATACAGGGGAAGACATGGCGGATGCCTTGCTTCAGTTTTTAGAGAAACATAGCATCGACATTCAAGACTGCCGTGTTCAGTCANATCGACATTCAAGACTGCCGTGGTCAGTCGTACGATACTGCACCTAACATGAGCGGCAAGTACAAAGGAATGCAGGCGAGAATTTGGAACATTAATAAATATGCAGATTACATTCCGTGCATGGGACACTCTTCGAATATAGCAGGCAATGCAGCAGCCAACGCATGCACTCACGCAGTCCTTTTTTTCAACTTTTTAGAAGAGCTTTTTGTTTTTTTTACAAGTTCAACGGCACGATATGAAATATTAAGTGCCAACTTATCATCGATTAAAGGATCTAAAAATGTCAAACGATTAAGTGACACTCGCTGGTCATCTCGTGCCGATGCTACAAAATCTGTCAAAGTTGGATTTGTTCCCATCAGAAATGCATTATGTTCAATTCGAGATGACAGTGAACAGAAAGACGTAGTGAGAAGTCAGGCTCGGGGACTAGCAAAGACAATGGAATCCCTCGAAACAGCTATATACGTTATTTTTTGGCATGACATTCTTGAAAGGTTCCATTTAACCATCAAATCTCTTCAGAATCCTGCAATCACCCTGCGGACTGCTGTTAACAGTCTCGTATCTTTGCAGTCATTTGTAAAATCCAAAAGAGATGCGTTTGGTACGTACGAAGAAGCTGCGAAAGATTTGTCCGAAGTCAGCGACTATGAAAATGTCCGAGTGAGATCAGCAAATGTTCGCTTGCAACCCCTTGGCTCTCAGGTGTCGGCAGTACAACTTTCAGCAAGGGACAAATTTCGCACCGAAGCTTTTCTCCCAGTTATTGATAAATTGACAAGTGCACTTGAAGACAAAATTTCATGCTACAAGCTGGTCTTTGAGCGATTCAATTTTATTGGTGAGCTAATGCTCATGGAATCAGAAGACATCAATTTGCATGCTAAAAAGCTTGTGGAAACATACCCAAATGATCTTGAATCATCTTTAGGGAACGAGCTCATACAACTTCGAGATTTCGCGTATCTTCACGAAAAAAGAGAGAACGAATCAACTGAGCTGTTTTTGTACCGCATCATCAAAGAAAACAATCTTCAGTCTACATTTGTTAATTCAGAAATTATTCTACGTTTATATCTGTCTATGATGGTAACAAATTGCACGAGTGAAAGATCTTTCTCCAAGATGAAATTAATCAAAAGTCGACTTCGAACATGTATGGGTGAAAACCGACTTGTGCATTTGGTTCTCTTGAGCTCCGAAAGAGATATACTGCGCGAACTAAGTTTCGATGATATCATTGCTATATTTGCAGCAAAAAAATCACGGAAAGAGTCGTTTCAGTAAAGGAGTATCCTTTTTTAGTGTAATATACTGTGAACATGTATTAAATTTGAAGTATTTATTGCCTTGTTACTTTATTCAATGCATCATCTTATTCTCTAACCTTATAATTATCTACTGCAAACTATATTTTTTTCTGAAAGAATAGTTTGAGATTGAGACTTTAAAAAGGGGCCCCCACACGTAGCCCGGCCCCAGGGCCCACACATTCTTAATCCGGCCCTGCCTGTAAGTAAAAAGATAGAAGTAATTAGTTACATTTTCTAAATGCTTTGCTTAATTTAATATTTTAACGAGACGCACATTTTAATCATAAGGACACAAATAAAGTTAACGCGTATCTGCTCAATGATCGATAAATCGAACTGTGAGTTTTACACTTGTTTGTTAATTTTTCTGAACTATTCTTTCTTTTACATTTCTTTCAGAATTTAGGGGCCAAGTTTTGGATTTATTTAGTGGAGTAGGATATTTGCTGTATTATTATATATGTACATACATATTTCGTCTCATCTTCCACCTTTTTTACAGAGAAGTTCGTAAAAGAATACTCCTATTTTTAAGTATAATTCTAGAAACATCAATGTTTAGGCCACGGCCTAAATATTGCGCTCCACCCTAATGGGCGGTAACACAGACCGTATGCACATACACGCGCATATGTATACGCATATACATATGCGCGTGTATCTATACCAATTAAAGTCATATTCACTAATACGCATACTCGTCCAATTTACCCGCCGTTCAATTACTGATTTGAGGAGAAACTGAACGAAAAGTCATTGTTCGGCGGGTCAAACGGAACTATTTTCAATTTGCCAAAGTCACTTCCCTGAGGACTTCCAAAGGATCACCAGCTATCACGCCACATCAAGGTAAAACCAACCAGACAATATTGCGTTGTATTTTCACTGAGCGCTCCACTCCGTGAGACGTGCTGGCGTAAATATTGGTCCCTGCGATCCGTGGAAATAATCAAGTCTTTAACACAGCGCAACAAACTACATACAGTCCACAACTCTATCACACTGAGCTACAAGAGGCACACCTAATTGCCAGATCACAGCATCGGTTGCTAACCAAGCTTTACAAAACCAGATTCGCGGCTGAAGCGTCCACAATACTAAGGAGTTATCCAGTACTTGCCATTGGACCAAATATTCAGCCATTAGAAAGGTACGTGGTTGATTTTCAGTGCACTTTTTTTATTATAAAAATTAGCAAATCACAAATAAGACAAAAACCGCGCGGGAAATTGTGAAACACAAAAGAAAAGGAAATTCAGTGTACTTGCGAGTTTTTAGAAAAAGGGTTAAGTCATTGCATTTTCATTATACACACATGTATATGAATACGAGCGGGAAGTGCGTCCATTTTAAATCACTCACAGTGTTGTTAGTGTAAAACTGAGTTCGTCAACTTAAAGCACACACACTAATACAATTTCTTATAGTTTCATAAGTGCAAAGCGTAGATTTCTTATCGGCTTTCACATTATATTCCACGTTTTATTCGTGTTGCTGACGGATTTTTCGAGATTTTTCCATTATTTTGGACTTCCCACAAATATCTTTTAGTTTCACTACTGCAATCGATTTCTGTTGCAGTTTTTTAAAGCACAATCAAACACTGACTACCCCTTTTCTTTTACTTCCACAAGATTCACTTGCGCGTATTCAAGCACAAAAAACCTCTGTTTTTCACCGCCAATTAAACTTGAAATATCGAGGCGGCCGAAAATAATTAAATATTCATACGTTTTATACTCTGTTTTTTTAACACTTCATCGAAAAGTTGGGTGGCAAGTGATTCCTCCTGTACAATTTGCGCAGTCACTGTCACACAACCACATATTCATATTCAATTTGCACGTACATATTTACACAAATCCATAGAGCGTTTTTCGAACGAAAGACAACATAAACATAAATTTGTACACACTATAATCCTTTGGCTGAAAATAAATAAAGTAGTTTTGATACACTTACGTTGATACCAAAAACTAATATCTTATTATTGGGATAGTGGCAATATTTGCTGGCGCGGTAAAATTTTTATTTTGGTGTGGCTATTCGGGTGAAAAAATTCCAATAAGGATTTCACACTAAATTTCATTAGACATACATTAAATCTGCGATCAGATTTCTATCTGTGTGCTTTCCGTGGTAATAATTCTCTAACCCAACAAATCTGCGGTCAGATACTCATCAGTATTACCACGAACTATACAACCCTTTGCCCCACATTTAACGGCTTTAACATCCAAAAATGGAAACCTTCATTCGATTGGCAGACGCCATAACCGAATTTGAGAGTGACTACAGCAGTACGCCATTCGAAGATCAGAATAAGCATGCCCTTGCAATTCAGCAAGAGGAATTGAGAGCCATGTGGAAGAAAACAAAGTCAGCCCATGAAGCCCTCATAAACACCGAGCTGTCAAGAGATGATAGATNAGCTGAGAGCCATGTGGAGGAAAACAAAATCAGCCCATGAAGCCCTCATAAACACCGATTTGACAAGAGAGGATAGACTATCTGTAAAAGCCAAAAATAAGAGTAGTTTTGGCTGCTATATGAAGTGCATGGCTGCAATAGCGTCTGATTTAGAAAAGTTAGCGAAAATTGAGAACGAAAACGAAGATGTATCTGTTCGGGAGCACCATATTCATCTGCCTCCCTGCGACACAGATATCTTCAAAGGGGATTATCTTTCATGGCCGTCATTCAGAGATATGTTTACGGCCATTTACATTCTCAATAAGCGTCTTACCCCTGTTGAGAAACTATTCCATCTCAACCAAAAAACTCAAGGGGAAGCTAAAGAAATCGTGCGAAGGTGTCCTTTGACTAACGAAGGCTTTTCAACAGCCTGGAAAAATTTAAGCGATCGATATGAGAATAAACGTATTCTGGTCAATACGCAATTAAAAATTTTATTCAACTTAAACGCAGTTGAGAGCGAATGTGGTAGCTCTATTAAGAAACTGCAGCGGGACATAAATAATTGCATCTCGTCCCTTCAATGTCATCAGATTGACATTTCTAATTGGGATGCAATTATAACGTATTTATGCTCTACGAAACTGCCAGAATGCACACTGGCTCTTTGGGAACAAACCATAGAGAACAAAACAGAGATCTCAAAATGGGAAGATATGGATAAATTCTTATCCAATCGTTTTCAGACATTAGAAACCGTTTCAGGGCTCAAAGGCAACAAAACAGCTAAGACGCCTAAGCCCCAAAACACACGGCAAATGCCGGAAGCGCTTCCAAAGAGACTTGGCGCTTTTCAAGCTAGTGTCGCCAAAAAATTGTGCACAATGTGTCAAAATAGCGAGCATAAGTTACGACACTGCGAAAGATTCCGCAAGTTAACCCCTTCCGACAGAATTGAGTACGTCAAGAGCAATAAACGTTGCTTGAATTGCTTGTCAGCCAGACATACGGTGACAAGGTGTACCAGTCCCTTTAATTGTAGCGCGTGCCATTCAAGGCATCATACGTTGCTCCACCTACAACAAGCAGTTCAGCCAAAAGCAACAGATCGTAGGGGAACTCCGAACTCCTCAGGTGACGGCGCCTCAACTTCAAGGCAGGCTCAGTTAAGACGGGACTCTGGAAAAGAAAATACCGAAACAGTTAAAAATGTGAACTCTTGCTTTGCTAATACAAACAAAGGAGTGCTACTAGGAACTGCGCGCGTAGATATACATTATAAGGGTGTTAATTTCTCCGCCAGAGCACTGATAGATTCGGGATCTGAATGCTCTTTTATAACTGAAAGACTTAAACGCAGAATTAACCTGCCATCAAAACGCTTGCATGCCCAAGTCTCGGGCATCAATAATTCAATATCTGCGCAGGTAAAGGAAGCGTGCGCCATTCAATTGCGGTCGCCCACAGACCCATTAATAACCATAGATGCTGTTGTACTGGTTTTACCAAAATTAACAGGGGATCTGCCGACTTGCCAAGTAAGCGCAATGACCCGGCAAGCATTCCCAGACTTGGTCTTGGCGGACAAAAGGTTCTTCATTAATGAGCCAGTGGACCTCGTACTCGGAGGAGACATATATCCTCAGATCATTTTAAGCGGCATAAAAAAGAACGTATTAAATACGCTCCTCGCCCAGGAAACCGTGTTCGGTTGGATTTTAACCGGTTGTGCGGAAGCATCGAATCCAACCAACAATATCTTATCATTTTACAATGAAGTCAACCTGGACAAGCAGTTAACCGCTTTCTGGGAGCTGGAGGAAGTTCCTAAGAAAAAAAGTCTGAATGACGACGACACCTATTGCGAAGATCTGTTCAAGGCCACAACCGAAAGGAACGCAGAAGGGAAATACATCGTGTCTTTACCCTTCAAAAAGGACTATCCGAACAACCTTTCCTTAGGACCATCGCTGAGAGGCGCCTGCTCTCAGTTCTACCGGAACGAGACGCGCCTAGCGAAAAAACCTGTCCTGCAAACGGAATATAATCGGGTTTTGGGGGAATATGAGACGTTAGGGCATATGTCTAAAATATCTGATAATGTGCCAGCAGACTCAACTGACTGTTATTACTTACCTCATCACGCTGTTTTGAAGGAAGAAAGCATCAGTACAAAGGTCAGAGTCGTATTCAACGCCTCATGCCCTACCGCCAATGGCACGAGCTTAAATGATGTCCTCCATCCCGGTCCAGTTCTTCAGGCCGATTTAACCATCCTCATCCTCCGTTGGAGACTGTTTAAATATGTATTCAACAGCGATATCGAAAAGATGCATCGGCAAATTCTGGTAGATAATAAACAAACAAAATATNTCTCGTGACTTGTCCTACAATGAACGCCATCCTATCATTCTTCCCTATAGTTGCAGGTTGTCCCGTCTCTTCGTCCAGTTTGTCCATCAAGTTTCCTTACACGGAGAAAACCAGCTGATGTTGCGCCTAATCCGAGCGCAGTATTGGATCCCGAAGGTGAAAAACATGATACGGTCCGTCATACACAATTGTAAGATCTGTACGATCCACAAGAAAAGGTCGCAAACCCAACTTATGGGAATCCTTCCAGAGGAACGCACCACTTTTTCGCGAGCGTTCACAAATACTGGTGTGGATTTTGCCGGACCTTTCGACATCAAGACCTACCGGGGCAGAGGATGTCGCATCTCAAAAGGATACGTTTGTTTGTTTGTCTGCTTCACGACAAAGGCTATACACCTCGAAGCCACCAGTGACCTGAGTACCGCTTCCTTTCTAGCAGCTTTCGCGAGATTCATTGCTAGACGGGGATGTCCAAAAAATGTCTACTCCGACAATGGAACTAACTTTGTCGGAGCTTCTCGATCTTTAAAAACCGAATTTAAAGCTTTCTTAGCTGACACTCGCAATAGTACCCTATCGAAATACAACCATCAAGCTCTAAGCTGGCATTTCATACCCGCTGCAGCTCCGCACATGGGGGGTTTGTGGGAGGCAGGGGTGAAGAGTTTTAAAACCCATTTTAAAAAAGTCGCATCCGATCATAAATATACGTTCGAAGAGTTCAGCACTCTTTTATGCCGAATTGAGTCTTGCCTCAACTCGCGGCCATTAAGTCCCTCTTCAAACGAACCCTCAGACCTGGAGCCGCTCACTCCAGGCCACTTTCTGATTGGTGGACATCTTCTCGCCCCACCAGAAATCGATGTCAACGAAAATCGGGCCTCAATCGTCAATCGCTGGGAAAAATTGAAGGACCTACGTCAAACTTTCTGCAAAAGGTGGAAATGGGAATATCTCACCGAAATGCAGAAACGCATCAAGTGGAAACATCCACAATGCAATTTAAAACAAGGGGACCTAGTAGTCATTAAAGAAGAAAACCTTGCTCCCAACGAATGGAGACTAGGACGAATAGCTAAACTGCACCCAGGCTCCGACAACCGGGTTCGAGTAGTCGACATCGATACGACAAAGGGCCAAATTACAAGACCAGTTGCAAAATTGGTCCTACTTCCATCGTGCAGCGAAGCCAACGAAAGTGAAGCAATTTCCCAGTAAACTTCTGCTAACACTTCATTCCACGTCAAGAAAATCTAGCTATTCCACTCTTCAACATGATTCGAAAACAAAGACAAATGCATATGGAAAATATGTGTACACAGCCAATCTTAAAATTTCATCACGAATGAGAGGGAGTATTTGTCAAAGAAGTAAATATATTAACGGTGAAACCTCGATAATAAAACACGAGAAAAAAGGGACATTACATGTTATTTAAAAGATTTTCAATCTCTAAATTTCTCAATTCTTCGGTGTTCCAACTAGTTCGTATTATCGAGATTCCACTGTATCAGATAAATGCAACACAAAGATATCTAATGCAATAGATCTGTTCAACTAAAAGTTACCCCATAACTTCTCTGTTACTTCATTTCTGGTTATTCGCGCAAAAGGACAAATATCAAAAAGTACGTGAACGCAACACCAATAACAATCTGGAATTTTTATGATCAGCTGATAAATTTGTTGATTATTCGTAGCAAATTCCTAATAAAACAGTTTTCTTGTTTTAGGGAATTAACATGATTCTACTTTCACAGGCGATTGGTTGAATGCAGCAGTTCCCTGGTGTAAATGACCTTTCAACTAATCACTGCCAATGAAGTGGGTCAGCTGCCAACTATCGTTCAACCTTTTGATTCAACTAAAAGTTGCCTGTGAAATCGCCTCATGTAAATTCCCCAATATTTTTCAATTGTCCCTTGCAACATATGATTAGCTGTGCTTCGTATTAGCGAATTGTTGCAAGCTAAAATTTGTCCCGTAAAATATTTACAACTTCTTCTCCAAGTTTCCCTCTCAACTCCCAAACTTTGCAAGTCCTTTGGGTTACATGAACACCAAAAAGTTTTTAATTTATTAGTACAATTTATGTATTTGCTACATAAACAGGCATATTGATTAATTTGATGGTTATACTCCACATTGGTTTTAGTTCGCCGATCTTAACCATAATACCCTATAAACAATTCTGGGTCCGAGACGCAATCATCCGCATAATTTCATGCGCAATGACCTCGCTGCCAGGCCCAAATGGCAAATGAAGTGGCCGAGACGAATCATCACTCTGCGTTTGTTAGCAATTTGAGCTCTAATTCTTGGGTAAAATGGAATGAGTTAGATATGAATGCTTGCGCTTAACCCCGCGTGTTTTTTGCATGTAATCCGGTCGATCAGTTGCCGACACCGGTATACATTAAGATGTCTCAGCAGAATCTTTGTTAATCTCCTTGCTACTAATAAGCGGTACGTCAAGTAGTCACATACAGATATAGATAGAAAACTCAGTACTTCCATCACTTAACAAAAAAAAGACCGTGGCAAACACCATATTCCATGGCCCACATAGCTTCTTTAATGCGAGACGAGGATGTCACTACCTTCGAATACGTATTGATTTTTGTTGAATGTGTAAAATACATCGATAATGTACTTAAGAGCTGCAAGATAAAATCATTCAAATGAGCCAACTTTTTCATACAGGCGAAAAACTTCCACATTTCTTACAAAAAATCGGGTCTGGTTTACACGTCGAAAACCGTCACCAGTGAGGCTGGAAGCTCCAGAGTATGTCAAAAAAGGTGTACTTATAACGGAGGCTAATGTTCATCCAAAGGACCTCCACCCATCGTCATTTTAAATAACTTGTCCGTTGTACGCCAGTTTTTTTTTCTTCGCAACCCTTTAATGGTTTTTATACTGTGCAGCTCTCAATAAGGGCTCGAAAAACAAAAATCCACATGAAATGAAATAGCAGGCCAGTGGCCATTGTAACCCAATGGTTGCTTTAGCCAGTGGCGCATATGGCTCACTGGGTGCTCAATCCAGCGGCTGGTGTGGCTCCGTTGGGCGGCTTATGGGTATTTTATCCAATAGCAAAAATAAGTGCGGCCCAGACTGCTCATTATTTGACTCTCATAATGAGTCATTTCCGCATTTGCAGGAACCTGTATAGAAAGATGAAATTATTAATGAAATCCTCAATAATTACTATTCTACAACTCACCTCTTACTACGGCCTCGTGTTAGAATTTTCAGAATGACATTTTTTGCCATTCAGGAAATGGAAAAAGTGTGGTGCGCAAAGGCATATCAAAATGTCAATTGAAAGTCTCCGCCTAAAGCCGCAACCACATACCTCGCGTGTGGAGATAAGTTTTTTCGCATGGAAACATGCATATTACAATGGGAACGTATTACACTCTATGCAAAAAAAAAAATCAACTTGCTTTTCAATGGTTTTTGATTGCAACTTGCATTAAAGTCCCATTCCACATGCTACTTTTATTCGGAGTGAACTGGTTTCCGTTTTAAGCCAAGTCACTACCCAGCCAAGACAGCACTCATTTTTGGGGGCGGGCCAAGCTACCGAAAACATCGCTAACGTCAATTTACGATATTAGCATAGGTCATAGCCGATGTGAAATTGATCTCCGAAATTAAAGCGATTTCGAATCAACTCATCGCAGTAAATTCCCATATGGACACCTTCCACAAATAATTTCAGCACGACATTTTCTCATGTACATACACATATACGCTATGCTCATATGCACTACATACATACGATTGAAATGGCATGGGAGAGCAGGGTTAGAACTCGAGCTAGCCTACACCGAAGTAAAGGGCGCGAAAAATCGTAACAAATTAAAAATATTGTTTAGAAATATAGTTGCTTAGATCATATAAATGAATGCATATACAATTGTTTAAAAAATTATCGTAATTCGTAGTGAGGTTCTAACCCTGCCGGGGAGATACAAAGGCAACAGTGCCATCTACCGGTTACCTGAATAAGCTGTAACGTTAATAATTCCACAATCAGACGAACTCTCCAAATACACGACCACACGCAGCCAATATNTAAATGAATGCATATACAATTGTTTAAAAAATTATCGTAATTCGTAGTGACTCTCCAAATACACGAATAATGCCACAACCACACGCAGCCAATAATATACAAATATAATAAAAATAAAAATTCCTCAAATAGCAAAACAGCTAGGGAACCACCACTTGCCACCCAACTATGGCTGTTCAAAATTGAACGTTTCCCATTCAAAGTGGCTCACATTGCAGAATGACCCGATTCACGGTATTACGCACAAAAACTGAGATGCACTCTGAAGAATTTGCGATCGCTTGCCGATTATGCAACAAGAATCATGGGGTGCGACTCTGCCCAATTTACCGCAGCAAGTCGGCAGAAGAAAGGCTACGAGAAGTGCTTATACACCGCTACTGCCCGAATTGTCTGTCACCATTCCACCGCTTGGAGATCTGCAGCAGCACCGACCGATGCCACAGATGTCGCGAGAAGCACCATACTTCTCTGCATATCGATACCGGTGACGATCGTAGAAAGGTAGCGCGGAGCCAGACCGACGAAGACGACAGATCGCAGGGCGCATTGTCGATTCATGTCACCGAGCAGACAAAATCATGGGCTCAACAGGTGGAAGAAGAAGAAAGAGAGCAAAATGAAATAATAGCCGAGATGGTCGTCGACGACGTAATAGTTCCCTCTGAAGAGACTGGTAGCTCGGAAATTCGTTCTTTCCGACAACCACCACAGCACGACTGGCGAAGGCGCGGCTCGGAAACCAGTTCTTTCCGACCGCCCAGGCAGATCGGCTCCGGACCTAGTCCGTTCGGACCACCTGCCCAGCCAGCGCGTAGTATCGCTGGCGGCACGGAAACCTTCCAACCGCCCCGACGTTTCAATGGTCAGCGACGTGGCGGCGCGGAAACCCGTTCTTTCCGCTCGTCTCGGCGCGGACAAGGTAGATCAGTCCCATATCATCGGAACCAACGACTACGAGGAGGGGATAGATCAGCGCTCGTCCTTCCGGACGCACGAACGGTAGGTTTTAGAACGGGCCGACTAGCCGGCCCAACAGGGGCACCAATAACGCGTTCGTTCGAACCGATTGCACCGACAGCAATCGTGCGGATAGAGTCGGGTGGC